ATATTTTTGTATTGGTTGGTCCATTTATTGAGAAAAGCTTTAGGTTATAAAACATCGGTCTGCGACGAAATGGGCGAAAAGCAAACGGCGTAAATTATAATTTCCGTTAAGTGTGCTGCGAAAACGGTTCAAGATATCCAAAAAATATGTAATAAAATAATCTAAAAAATGTTCACTACAATATATATCTATCTCTAAGATTAACTTTACAAGAACCGTTTTATGTTACTACTCCATGATTTGTGTGAAGTCTAGTTTAAAAAACATTTTCTTATAATATACCCATGTGGAAATCATAGTACTTTAATCGTCATATGCAGTTGACACGTATGTGTTTCTCCCAATTTGCAGTCTTTGAGCTGGTTCATTTCTCGACGGGTCACCATAAGTAAAGTCGTGTAAACATAACATCCAATGGTTAAGCTTGACTGCCCTCCTCTGCCTTAAAATACATTTACTGTTACCTTAAGCATATTTATAACTTGCACATATTTGAATAAATCAGTAGCTATCGCGTTTGTAAATACGGGGTAAAGCCTCAACGAGTCAATTACGTAATTGCCTGTGTACTGAACCCAGATAAGCGAGGACGGCAATTATGAGATAATGACACTTTCCTCGCTATTTCCTTTTGCTGTACCGTTGATGAATCATCTTTCATGTTTCCTAATGAATACAATACAAACAATAATGAAGCTGTTATTGTCTTCACGGTATTAATTATTCTCGGCCGTAATTTTACGTTTTAATCAGTTATATAACGGCCAAGATGAGACAGGCCCACGATACAATTGTAAACGTATCAGATATAAGGGGCAAAGGGCTTGTGTGTTAATGTCATTAAAAACACTGTTAAATAAAATAATTTTAACGGTTCAATGTGCAAATAAATAACCTGCTATAGATCTGCTGATCTCAAAATTAATCATAACTAATAATCGGTTATGATTTTTTTCGACCAAATTGGACTATGATTAAATTTTCTTGTAAGTTACTATTAAATGATAGTCATATACTGTAGCGGCCATTTTTAAATCATTGCATACACGTTTATTCGTTTCTTGGCCGTTTTTGTAGCGAACGCAAAAAGAGTTCTATTTGTCGCAGCGTGATGTTCTATATTAATGCATGCTTCGATAAATCTTCTAACCAACACAAAAAAATATATCCATTCGCACCGTTAGTTCCTGAGATTAGCGCGTTTAAACGGACACGTCATCTTTATAAAAATTGCACCATATGTCCACTCCAACCGGTGCCATATCGTTTGGAGTCACTGCGAATCAGGTGCTACATTAAAGTGTTGTCAAGGCGTTCCAGGCGCATTCCTTGTCTTGCGATTGGGTGCAATGATCACACTACATTACTATAGAAACACAAAAAATAACAAATAAGAGAGATAATGAAAAAATTAATTAATTAAGGTTTTATTGAAATGTTAATAGTAGTTTTATTGATCGAATGTTAATTGTTTTTGCTAAGTTATCGAGGCTGGGTTCCTAATGTCATGGATAAAACACAGTGGTTTTAAATACGTCACATTAATTCAATCAGCAGATGATCACATCATCTGCCTTAATTATACAGGTTTTTTATTTTACCGCGAAACCATAAAGTCCGGGTATACGTTAAATGTTAAATGACGTTCATGAATAAACGAACGGAGTACGAAAAGATGTGACGTCCCATGGGTATTATTAACGGTTTAAAACGCGGAATGTATCTTATATACAATTTATTTTAACTGCGGCCTAACGTTACGGATGCTTAACAGCAGCCGTGGCTGAAATATCTAAATATTATTATATAAGAAGCCCTGTGACGTCACATCCGCTCTTATCTACAGACAGTATGTATTTATATGTATATAATAACTAACTGAACAATAACTTCGAAGGTACGATAGACAACAAGCTTTCTCTAAATCGAGAAAATCTATCACGTTCTGCTGGAAATTCCGGAATGAGATCAGTATATGTTTTCGTTTCAGTATATGGAACCTACGTTCAGAGAGGGCCTGATTGATCTTAACGCTCGTTTACCACTATTTGTAGGTGTGCAATTAAATTATTTTATGCTATAAAACAATATGTTAGTGGTTGTCTATACTCCCAAATATGTTTTAAAGAAATACAGATTTTGCGTGTTTACACCGACATAAACAGTAACAGAAATGGAACGATGAAAGAGTACTGCAATAACATAAAAGGCTTCATTTAGTCCGGGTCTCGCCTTGAAGATGGAGAGGCTCGTTATATTAACCCCGAATGCGTTGATTGATTTTCTTTAATATAGCCTTTTCTTGATTACAATATGGCGTCGGGTTTCAGTCGACAAGAAGTGAAACTAATAAGTTGTATTGAAATTAAAACTAAAGAGAACGTTTGAAGATATCCTTATTAAATCTATACTAATATAAAGAGTTTGTTTGAATGTTAAGAACTACTGGACCTTATTAAAACAAATGTTTAGGATTTTTATAAAAGAAGGGGTTAGACCATGTTACGAAAAGAGGAGCAAATAAACAGAAGGTAATGTGGCAAAAACGGAGAAAATCACTTATCTTTAAACCTCAATATCGTGAGCTGCAAAAATATCGAAATAAATAAATCTTTCTTTCTTTGAAATAAAACACTTTAACGGTTTAAAACGCGATATATTAGTTAAACTTATTTGAAAATGATTTTTAACTTCGGCCCGACGTTTCGGATGCTTTGCAGCAGCCGTGGTCACGGGGAGACTATATCAGGTCATTTTCAAATAAGTTTAACTAATATATCGCGTTTTAAACCGTTCAAGTGTTTTATTTAAATGTGTACTACTCGCGTAAACTATAGACAGTATCTTTATTTCTTTTAAAAGAAGTCATAGACTTAATTAATATCTCATACATAGGGAACCAATTAAAATATAGAACGGCTTTATTACTAAAAGATCGAGAAGATACAATTCCATCCACGTACTCGAAGAATCGTCGAAACACTTACATTTATCAAAATCCCTGGCAGTACTTTAAGGGCTTTCCCGCTCGACTGTACTAATTTATTGGCGATAAAATATAAAAGCTTTACTGCAAACGAGGTCGATAACGTCTATTGTTGACTCGTTTGTGTGCATGATATTGCCACTTTGGGTAAACATCGTGTGTGCATAGAAATATTGATTGCGCCAATTACAAACTATTAGCTTACCTAAATATTTGTTCAACAAGGGTAAATTTCATTATTTATTCATTTCTAGTTTCTAACTAAGTTTCTAGTTAGCTAACTAAAAGCACAAGTTGATGTTGTTTTTTATCTCTGTATGTATTTTTTATATCTGTAGTGTTTTTATATTTGTGTACGCTTCAAAGTAAATGTTTGCACTAATAGTATATTTAAATAAACACGGTAACGGTTTAAAACGTGATATGTATTCGTGATATGTAGCAAAACATCATGAACTTGGGTAAGTGGTAAAGAAAAAGTTAACTAACCTCTATAAATCGCGGTTGAAAAATGTGTTAAAATACTCTTCATCCGAAAATGTTATAAAGAAAGTCCTTAATGTGTGTTTAAAGCAATAAATAGTAGTGTAACATTTTTTTGAAATTATAGGCAATGTAAAAACTTGTGAAGCGTTTTCGTAATCCCTTGTAAATATTATTTACGTAAACAAATATTGTCTGTATTTTTTCTTGTTAAATATTACCGGTTTTAAATTCGAAATATAATATTTATGTAATAAGTAATTTGTGTAACTAATTATTAGATAAAAATACTTGTTTTCCATACTTTATGATCATCACATATTTTAGGAGTATGGAAAAATGCACCGCAACTGACATTCCTATTATTTGCTTTCACCACGGGAACATGCCTTATGTACTTCTTTTTATTGCGGATCACTAAAGGACACTTTATTTGTTCTAAATAAACAATAAAGAAATCTGATAGTAACGCATATTTAAAACAATACATATTATTGCACAGTTAAACAAAGACCTTTCTTCTGAGCACCAGTTTTCTTGCCTTTCAACTGTAAGTAGGATATTGATTATAATTAATGACTATTCAAAATTATTTATGCGTTGTAGAAATCAGACGTTACACATAAGTATGGTGCGATTTGAATATTATGTCAAATTACTTCTTATAAGAAAGCATAACCCATTTTTTTTTACTTAACTCTAAAATGGGATAGTATATATAGCTAAAAAGCGTGAGTCATCCCATATTTGTGTCTAATGAGTAAAAATGTTAATATTTGGCCGTTTTTCTATATTTATTTGCTATATTTTTTCAAGCCTTTTCTATGTCCAAAGGTTTCACTGTAAAACTATGAGTGTGTAATTTACTTTTAAACCCGCTTAACCTTTTTGACCAAGCTGTTGGCAACGTCATTTTAAAGTAATATATTTTATGGAATGTTTCTGAGTAACTTTTTGTGCAAGTGTGTGAATCTTTTTTATTGAAAACTAGCTGTTTCAGGGACTTAGTCCGCCCTAGAATAACTATTTTGGACATCCAATTTTCTTTTGCAAACCAGTTTAATGATATAAAAATTTAAGCTTTTCCCACGACGTCGACTGCGTTCCGTCGTTCTTGCGAGTTAATCTTAAAAGGTACACATATACTGTCAAAGACATTTTTAATCATTTAAAGAGAGATTTATTTACATATATTTGGATGTCTTGAATGCAATTCTCAAAGATGATTAATTTTCCCCGTTTCTTCCACATTTCACATTGGGTCTTTGCTCTCCTAGTGGTTGCAGCGTGGTTTGAATAGCCTAAAGTCTTCCATGATAAATGGCCTGACCAACACAAAAATAATTTTTCAATTTGAACCAGTTCTTCTGAAATCAGTTCTTGAGATTCTTCGACCAACTTCAACTTAATAATATTAGTATAGATTTAACTACAATTAGGCTATTCGAAGTTCCAATACTCGTTTTTATATCTAAGTATAAATTACGTAGGTGTATTATAAAGGTGATGTCAATATATTATTTTGCTTCAGGTTGGGATGCGTCGGAAGGCGAGAAGGCGCCCTTCCTACGCAACGAGCCGGTGCGTCTGACACCCGCCTGGGAGGGTTCCAACCTGCCCAACGACACGCTCAATTTAAAAGGTAACTTTTATATCTATGAGACGTAGGCTTGCAACGAGTAGTATATTCGGCGAAACTATTCGGTAAGATTTTAACGCTAAAATATACCACCCAATTAATATCCAGTTTTCCAGATAAAGTCGTGCATGTTTTAGAAAAAAGTTAGAAACATGTTGGGCCTGGTGGGGATTAATAAACCCATGACCAATTGATCATTAGCCATAGATTGCACATTTGCTACCATTAGACCTATGAGTCCGTCAAAATTGGTTGATACTTTCTTGACTTAATTACAGAGTTCAATGTTAAAACACTCATTTTTTATTTTCAGTTTGATAGTATGATCTTAATCTGCAAAGCATTGAGACAATTAAATGTAAAGTTAGATTCTATAATTATTTTGCGACGTTCATAAGTGTACATAGTTACCTACATGAATAAATGATTTTTGACTTTTGACTGACTTTTGACATTTAACTTTAATACGCAAGGGTTTAGATTTAAATGACATTGCGCGAAAGGTGAAGTAGAAAGGCATGTATGTACTATGTTGAAAAAATTCGATGATGACACGTAGGAGGTTATATGATGTGGCTTAGTTCTCATGAGTGAAAGAGAAAATGCTAAGAGGTGTAGGACATCTTTACGAGATAGGGCCGTGATTAAAATACGATTATTATACATAAGGGACATAAGGATTATCTATTACTTTTGGTACTAAGCCTTCCTACTAAACCTTCTAAATATGTATATGAAAATCTTGTAGAATTCTTGCATAATTTGGACGTAAGTATGGACGCAAAAACACACGCTTTCGACTGTATTATGTACCATGTTTTTTGGGTAGTGCATTTTGATTTATTTTTATAGGTATATTAATATTGTCGACTTAGAATTTAATTGGCGGTTAGTTTTGCACACGAATCGATATTTTTATCACAGAATGATTACGCGTGTTTCCGATCCTCGTGTTTGCTTTTGTTGTATTGTTTTGGATACAATTATAAATTGTTACGCGAATCACGTCTATTCTAATATGCTTTAGCGGCCAGTTACCTAAACCATCGAGTGAAAATAGGTTTTGCGCATTTAATTACGATTTCAATAAATTAAATTGCCATAGTAGAGTGCCTAGTATAGTTGATGCCATGGGTGGTACGTTAAACCCTATAAATTTCCACCGTTTATAGATTCCTTCAGAGGAAAGTGAAATAATGAAAAAGGATACATTTGAAAACTGTAATTTTTTTGATAAGATGGGCTTAAGGGATACATTATTTGCACCACATGTCCACTCCAAACGGTGCCATATTGTTCGGAGTCACTGCGAATCAGGTGCTACATCAAAGTGTTGTCAAGGCGTTCCAGGCGCATTCCTTGTCATGCGATTGGGTGCAGTGATCACACTACAATTTTATTAATCCCTCTAAATGCCCATTGGTACATGTCGTAAAGGATTTGGTTTTAGAACCCGTAATTGTCTTCGCAATGTTCTGGTTCCTTCGCGAAAGCTATGTATATATAAAGATATATTCAAGACTCGAGTAAAGCTTCCCAAATGGGTGCTGAATTACACGTCATCCTTTCAATATAACGGGCCATCACACACTTGCACAAACAATTACACCCAAGTATTTCATAAAATAGAATAGTTTATAAGTGATATGTTAAAGAAATGTTACCCGCGGCTTCGTTAAAAAGGTCAAGTAGGTTTAACCGCACATTACACTCTTAGCTTTATAGTTTTGCTGTGAAAACTCCGGACAGATTAAAAATGTATTTCCATTCATCCATCACTTGCAGAGATAGAAACATTTATTTACCTGACGAGTATAAAATAAAACTAACAGAGTTTAAATAAATAATTCTAATTTAACACGCTTAACGCGTATTAAATTTAAAATAAAAAAGCACCATACAACTAATCTTCAAACATCTATTCTAATATTATAAAGCGAAAGGGTTTGTTTGTTTAATCGCGGTAATATCAGGTACAACTAGTTCTAATTCCAAAAAATGTTTGCTAGAACATTTATTTAGGAAAGCTTCTCTCATCAATAGGAGAGAGAAATGGAGAGAAGAATAATTTATCGTCAAGGCTTGCCGTTGCGTTCACCTGCGAATACGGTTGAAGATATTTAAAAAATATGCATAAAACAATCCCTTTGAAAGAGCTAAAAATGACAGGACCTTTCAACGAGAGTTATTTAAATAAAACACTTTAAGTTTAAAAGGATATTTATTCTTATTTGCTTTTTATTTATTTATTTAAATTTAGGGGAGACACGGCTGCTGCAAAGCATGCTGCTGCTTCTATAGCTTCGATTTCTTGTTTCATTCTATCGGTACTAATGATCACTAATTCACGAGCAACTGAATGCTTAGCCGATCTCAGCTTTCCATTCAGTTGATCGTGTTCATATTAATGTTTAAATTGATACACAATTAGACAATGTTACGATGCGGGCCTCGTCGGTATCTCCCACGCGTCACTTATTTAGAACAACTTCGGGTCAACCGTTTTTAGAATAATGATTTATTGCCAAACGAGCTATAAAATGTCTACATAAATATAAAATTGACTTAAAGAATTACTGAGCAATAAACTATTAAAAATATAGGTTTTTATTACCTAATGCAATTTCTGTTGTCTAAGTAATGCTACCTTTTTTTTACTTTGTCTAAAAGAAGAGATTCTCGTTCGATTTCATTATAGCTCAATAAAAACAATTGTGGCTTTCAAACAATTCAGTAATTAGCTAATGTATACAGGTATAAACACACATAGTTAAATATAGATTTGAATAATCTATGCTTTCATTTCTTAACATAATAAACATTTTATCAAATGTCTATGAATAGAGTGATTTTTCCATCAAAACATTTCCGTCTCCAAACGCTTATGAAATCTGTCGCATTCCTGCGAACGTCGGAACTGGAAGGAAAATCTGAAACATTTCGAATATTGAGCGCGTTTTTATTGTACGACTACGACACGATTCTCAATCGTACCACTTGTAGTACTGTTATATTATAAATTACGATACTGTACAATAAGTATACAAATGGTGTTTTAAGATTGACACCGGTGTTTTAAGATTGACACCACAAACGCTATTTATTTAAAATTCGGGAGTGCGCAAACGCGTTTTTTAAAATAGACGATTAATTTATTGACGTGACGTTAGAGACTACATACTAGATCATCGGTTAAGAGGCATCCGGCCGATAAAATATTTCCCGAACTGCATATCAATCCTTAGGAAATATATAAATAAACTATTTAATACATTATTATTATTATTATTAAACTATATAGTAAACACTTTTTCTGTGATACATGAGTTTAAACTATAAAACGAAGTAAGTAAATTGTACACGAAAGATAGACAAGACCTTATTATGCGTTGTTTGTTATGTTTATGAATATGACATTTAATGCTTTTTAAGGCATTGTTAAGTTCAGACAATAGGATATTACGGTATGTCGTCGCGAACATAAGAATGATTAATTTATGTGCTTTTAAGTGCATTATACAATGGGTGAAATTCAAATATTTACAAAGAAATAAATTATGTAGTAGTTTAGTCGATCTAATAGTTTAATTACCATTATATCATCATATTCTATAATTTAAAGACATGAAGTTATTGTTTAGCTCACTTATTCTCATATCGTTGTTTTTTATACTCCACAAAAATCTAAAATCAATGTTTTTTGAAATCGTACCGTACTGTGTATGATAGCGCATTCAAGATGCTCTCCAGTAACTTCAGTTAAATAACTTCCCTAGAATTTATACGTTACAGAAGCTATTACAAGTTTTCAATAACCTAAATAAACGTCCGTTTGCGTATACTGAAAATTGTGTTAGCGCGACTTCGTGAAAAATATTTTCATGTAGGATATTAATTTTAATGCATATATGTGTTACTTATATGTAGGGGGGGTTTGGTGCCCACAGTGGTAGCAATGTAGCTATTAACTGATTGCAGGTTCGTTTCCACCATGTTTCTAAATTGTTTATTACACTTTCCAACGCCTTAGACCCCGTCTGGTTGGATAATAAGTGTCCACAGATGAAAGATGCGAAGTGTTCAGTCGCGTTTTGTTCCACTCTGTTGATTTTCAAATGTCCAAAGTCGAAATAGGTCTACAAAACATCTAAATTAGACGTTAAAGGAGCAACCTTGTCTGTGTCCTCTGTTATAAAAATATGTATGAAATTTTATTCTACTACTACTACACTTTCATTAATTCATATAATAGATGTTTTAATCTTGTTTATATTAGATCACGTTTTTGATAAATTGGAAGTTAACTAATATCGTAGCACTAAGGTCTTCGTGGGTTTACGGTGTAGTCTGAATATTTATGAGTTGCCTACACGTCGATGTTAGGAAATACTATTATTACTTTAGATGATTATTAATGTAAGTACCATTAAAAAGGCGAGGATTGCTTAAGTGAGATTCGATATCTATATATCTACTATACTTATACTAACATAATGCTAAAGATTTTGTTTGTTTGAATTGTATAAACTAGCGTATAATATCTAATACGATGCGCAGGTTAGGTCTACATCCTATTTTGTATTTGGTATTCGGACATCCACAGACCGAAACGCACTTAAACATCACGACTCTTATCTGTTTTGGAAATTTGGACAGACAGAGTGCGTCGTTTGTACGTTATAACGCTATAGGGGAAAAATATTTATTCTATGACGGGTCTAGCTTTACAAAAACATCAACGACAAATCCCTAATTTCCAACACGTACATGCTAATTAATCAGACGCGTGACAGATTTCACAACTGACAAGCTCTTTACGCAACGCAAAATGATAATGGCTAATTTATCAGGTATAGCCATGGACTTGGTGCCGCCGAAAGACAAGTGGAACATCATATACTTCACACTGATGCTGCACGGCCTCGGGACTCTCACAGCGTGGAACATGTTCATCACGGCGAAGGACTACTTCGTGAAGTACAAGCTGATAAATGCGCCCACTTATGCTGAGAACTTCATGCCTTACATCGGCTGGGCTTCACATGGACCCAACTTGCTGTTCAGCTGGTTCAATATTTTTGCAAAGATGGGGTGAGTGCTCTATCTAACTGTTTGTAATGCGTTTGATAAATACATTTTTCATATGCGGCTACTAGAGGCAGAGTGGCCTAATAACAAGGAACATGATCTTCAATAAGGGGGAAAATAAAAATGCGCAATTAACTCAGGCGAAAATGAATTTGTACTATCATTTATGTAAGAATTATGTTGACAATTTAAATTTTTCTAAACACTAAAGACTAAAAAATATAAATAAGTTAAGTCATAAAAATTGCAGTTAGGCTACTCTGGCTCTATCGGCCTCATATCCTTTGCGGGCTGTCTCCAATTGTTTATTAATACACGTGTGTGCCAAGAAAACAGACCCTTGTCTACAGGTTTAGTATCCGAATTTACGTAGACAGCTTCTATAAACTAAATTATAAATAAAAGCCGATTTGATTTAAAAATGATAACACGGACAGGACTCGAACCGACATTCACAGCGTTCCGTGCTAATGCTCTGACCAATTGAGCTATGAGTATCCTACAATCGATACGACCTCTCAATCGATTTTTAATTGATTAAAGTTTTATAAGGTATCTAATCTACCTTGTTTCAATTTGTATTCCCACTTCCAACGCAGTGAGTTAGCAGAACATCTGTCTCTCACATACATATCAGTGGGTACATTATCGCTTTACTAAAACACTTGCAATTTTCACCAGTAAACTTGTGAGCACCTAAGTTTCGCTACACACAATTCTTATTATCTAGTTTCTCCCCTAATACTAGTTAAGCCGGCATTTGTGCTGTCGACCTTATACATTTATACACTATTCTCGTATTATTAACATGTGACCGCCGAAACCTCAGGATTCTAACAAATAATCTAGAACAAAACTCCATCGTTAATGTCTGACCTATTCTAATTAGTTATGTCTTTTTTCCAGCGGAGACCTTACGTCACGTATAGTATGGTCCCTATGCATAGAAGTACTGATGTTGGTCGTTACAGTAATACTTGCAATGGTGGACAGTTCTACTTTTCCTGAAGTGTTCTTCTGGCTCACTATGATCACAGTCTTCATATTGAACGGTAATAATTATATTCAACTCTTGGCCTATTTGATAAAACATTTTATCGGTTTAAAACGCGAAATAATGTGTAAAACCGAGACCGCGGTTGCTGCAAAACATCCGAAACGTTGGGCCGCCGTTAAAATCATTCGTAAATAAGTTTAACTATTATATTTCGCGTTTTATACCGTTAAAGGGTTTTTTATATGAATATGTACTTGCGTAAACTACAGTATATATCTATTAGATTATTTTTTTCTATTAAATATCCCACTTCCAACGCAGTGGTGTTATCATTATGGTATCAATCACAAATTACAACAGTGGGTATAGTGAAGCTTTACTAAAACACACGCCGGTTTTCTCAATAAACTTGTGTGCACCTAAGTATTGCGACATTTTTAATGTACGTATGAGTTATTATACTAGATTTTCTTTTTTTTTACTTGATCTTACGTATTGAGCCCTGAAGGGGCCTCGAATACTAACCGGGCGTTGGAGCGAGTGGGTGGGATCTTGAGGAGCTTGACGGAAGCTCACCCGGGTGAGCGGTGCGCGTAGCGAATGACCTCGCCTACGCCAGTCTAGGCGGTTTTGCGGGCGATCGGTTGCGACGAGTAAATCGACGGCTTTGGTTAAGTCGTCGTCGGGGTCGGTAAGAACGTTACGCGACCAGCAGTGGGTTCGGATGCGTCGCGGCTTTTTTAAAGAAACGTTCGGACGTTTCTTTGTAGTACCGACTGAGGGTCTGTTATTCGAGATCGGCGTGAAGATTTGCATTCCGCACGCACCAGATGGCTCCAGTAGCGGTTCGAGTGAACCGATTCTGAAGCACCTGGAGCTTGTGGAGTGTGCTAGTAGTAGAGTAGGCGAGAATCGGACGGAATATGACGTCCTATTTATATTTGTCAGTATAATATTGTATTTTTTAAGCCTCGATATATATAATCTGTAAAACTATTTAAGAAAACATCTGTAATGTTTACTTTTAACTCCTTATAATATGTTACTGTGATATTTCCGTTTATTTCCTGTGTTAAGAATACATAAATTAATTAAATGATTAAAATTTACAATTATTTTTTACAGGTTTCAACGCAATATTCCAGAACACAGTATACGGCGTCGCCGCTAGACTCCCGCCACAGTACACTGGAGCAGTCGTACTGGGTTCAAACATATGCGGCACCCTCATCGTCCTACTGAACTGGGCCAGCGATCTGTTCACAGAGAGCTACCGCACATCGGCGATCTACTACTTCATTTGCGGCATCTTCGTGCTGCTTATATGCTTTGACACATATTTTGCGTTACCGCTAAATGTAAGTAAAAAAAGGGTTGAGAATTTCGTAAAATAACAAAAGGTAGAGAAAAACTTTAACTGCCTGGCCATCTTTATGATGTAGCCAAAAATATACATAAAATTAGTTATTGGTTACTTCTTGCATGATCCAGACGTAACCATTTTTACATCAAGAATATTTTTCGGATGTTTCGGACGTCGGGCCTAATTTAAAAATCATTTTCAAATAAGTTTAACTAATATATCGCGTTTTAAACCCTTAGTGTTTTATTTAAATGTGTACTTGCATAAACTATAGACAGTACTTAATATTTTTCATGTTAATCTTGTCCACTAGAAGCAAAATGGTGAAATGTGTTGCCTGGCACTGAATTAAGCAAGAGATGTTCTTGGTCTGAAACCCTGGAAAATAAATGGTTTCCGTTAAACAGGGCACAGTACCAACTACTTGCTGATTAAGTGTGGACACAAAAATGCGGTCGTTCAATGCCCCACCAAGCCAAATGGATGGATTTGACTAATCTTTAATTTGTATTATTTCAGAGGTTTTATCGCTACCACGAAACGTTACAAGAAAGGACATTGAGAGTAAACCCAACTTTAGCATCGACCAATCAGAACGCGAGCCCGGCGAAGCAGAGCGTTCCATACGGAATTATATTTAGACAATCTTTCATCCAGTTATACAATGTGTTCCTGGTTTTCTTTGTGTCTCTAGCTGTCTTTCCCGCTGTACATTCAGGTGAGATATTTAAAGAACCTTTACATGATAAGAATTTGTATCCTAGTCCACAACACAAAGGGAAGACTGAATAGTACAATGATTACTTCAGGTACATTCTGCTGTGTCGATCGATTTTATAATATGTATAGTTTTTTTTTATAATAAAATTGATAAAGTAATAAAGCTCTTTAAAAAAGTCGTTATTATTAAAAGTTTAACAATTACGATTTATGCCCACTATCCAACGCAGTGACATACATATAAATTGTGTAGTCACATAAAAAGAGTGGGTAAATTAAAGGCTCTACTAAAACACACGCATGTTTTATATAAACTTGTGTGCACCTAAGTTTGGCTACATATTTTGTAATGGATTTAGGGGTTCAACACAACCCCCAAATAAGGTTCCAACACTAATGCGAGTAAGTTGCTACCATATCATACCACAGAGGGCAATCAGAATGATGACAAATAAGACGTCTACTTGCAAATAATAGGATTTTGTATAAGAACAGAAAGATTTGAGGGGATAGTAAAAGTTGGATATTCTAATATCCAACTTTTACTATCCCCCCCCACAGGGGCCAGCATTCTTGTAGACTGGTCACTCCATCTTTGACAAGTACCCAAAAAAACACCACTGTACAAAAAAAACTAAAAATTTTCGATTGAAAAATACATTAACACGGGTGGGACCCGATCAAAGGACCACAGCGTACCGTCGCTCTGTCAACTGAGCTACCAAGTTGTCCACTCCCACAGTTCACATGCCTCTCAAGCAACGTAATATCATCCTTAACACTTACGCACGTAGGTTCTATGTAAATTGTATTTTTGTATCCACTTACAGATATTCAACCAATGAGCCCCGGTTTCCTCGGTAACGATTTCACACGGATCACGTGTTTCCTAACATTCAACTTTACGGCTATGATTGGAAACATCACGGCTAGTCTATGGCAATTTGTGAGTACTTTTTGTTACATAACTTTGTCTGATAGTGGATGGTTATTTTCTTATTTGAAGCTTCTGAAGTTTTTTTAATATCAAAAAGCGTATATAATCGTACTTTATTGTCGAATGCCACTGAGCCAGTGATGATGATAAAACGGTTGCGATTTTAGCACAACAAATTTCATTTTGTCTTATAGTGCTGAACTATCTAATTTTATATCTGTATATTCTTTTGTGCTAATTATAATTATTTACTAAAAACTGGTCGAATGAAAAATAAAGTGATTTATTATCAAAGATAAGCAAAATTATCATCCTATATTAGACAAAATATAGTCACTAAGAATTTCAATCAATGTACCCACTAACCAACGCAGTGACCCTTATAAATAAATTATATTGTCACATTTTATCAGTGGGAAAAGTATCGCTTTACTAAAACACACGCAAACTTCTTTTATAAGTTTGTGTGCACCTAAGTTTAGCTACAACTGCATTTGGTAATATGATTTATATTTAAACAAGTTGTATGTAATATATAAATTAATGAACTTAACCTTATTGATTTAGTCGTAGTTGGACTTGAAAGGAAATCATGGTGTTTCCTGGGCCAAACAAAATGTTATGGTTCAAATTTTGTCTATGGGGATATGGAATGGATTACCTTGAAGTGTCTTATATGGCATGTTAAACCGTCGACTTGAACTCGAGCAGAGTGGGTATTCAGCGTTAGGAAACTTGTGCCCATCTGTGGGACATCACTACGTTGAAACGAATAAACATTTTCATTAAAAAGTTCCCTCTTTGAGCTTCAAGGGAATATGGTAAAATTGTTTCCATATAAGGGATATGCAATCTTGTATACTGTCTATCGTTTGCACTAGCAATACACATTTAAATAAAACACTGACCGCTTAAAATGCAAATATAATTGTACATTTGTTTGCAAATTATTTTTTAACTACACTGCTCCTCCTATAGTAAAAAACTTCTCTTTCTTCTCAGCCGAACCCCAAATGGCTCTCCTTGTTCACGACGTTAAGATTAGTATTCATTCCATTATTCTTACTCTGCAACTATAACCCATTGGGAAGGCAAAGAACGCTTCCGGTCGTGATCAACAATGACTGGGCGTATTGGATCATCTCTGTGCTGCTGGGTTGGAGTTCGGGGCACGGTAGCTCACTGGGCATGATGTATGTTAGCGGGTAAGTGCTGTATTATTTGTAAAATTTAATACTAAAAAGTCAAAACAGGACATTATAACTAAGACTTAGCTGTCCAATAGAATTTTAGCAGACTTTTGGTTTTTTTTTTAGAGTTGTTGTATAACTTGTTTTTTTAGTGGCAGGACAACATATTAAAAATAAAACTGATAATGTTACGGAACATTTCGTGGACGAGGCTATTATTTATTATTATATATTATTGAAATCTTATAATAACACTCAACTAAATATTAAATTATTTACATAATAAATATAATAAAAAATAGCTGAGAGAAGCTACATAACTATTGTCTGTAGTTTATGCTAGTATTAGACATTTAAATAAAAACTTTTTTGAGAAAATTAAGAGGCTATTTTTTTTTTAAACCAACCAACTGCCCAACGCTTTGCAGCAGCCGTGGTCAGGGGGACTAAGACTAAATTCATTCAACCAATTGTCTAGAAACTATTAGGCAAAAGTGTTAAATAAAAAAAGTGCTAAAATATTTTCGTATGCATTTTCAGGACGGTAGCACCAGAGCATGCATCAACAGCTGGCATGTTGGGTGGAGCGGTGTTGATCACCGGATTGGTCGCTGGAATTACCTTTTCACGGTTTTGCCCCGCCCTCGTATCGCTAGCCGCCTGGTCGAGCATGTAGCGCCTAGTTAGATACCTCGGAACATTCTGGAACATTCTAGTGCTCAAGTGATTTGGAATACTAGATGACGGAATCCTTGGGGATTATGGAATCAAGTAAAAATGTCAAAGATGACTGGTTCTAGAACTTTCACAAGTGAAGTGTAGTAAGTGAATATAGTCTGTGGCAAAGAGTTATCTATAATAGGCATTATCAAGACATCCCTAGGTATGAAGAATGTTATATCGTTTATAAATTGTTGAAATATCATGACGGTTTACAAATAATAAGTATTATACTAAAAATATAGTGCCTAGGTATGGTTATGCGACTGAAAATTTATAACATGACTAAGAAATTCTAAAGCATATAATATTCGACTTTCCCGTATTAAAATAGATATAAATGCAATACTGACACAAATTACTTGACATTTTTTTCCATAGTTTTTGTGAGGTGTTAAGGATTGTTAATGTTTTAAGAGTTTTAGATTTATGGTAGGTTGAAGCAGCTGTGAAAGTTTATTTTTAGCATTTACTAAAAGTTTGGGTTAATAAAAATTCATCATTCTTTATTGACATTGTTTGCACATATAAATGGTTACATTTAACCCATTACTACTGCAACACGAAAGAATCTTAAATCTGCGCTTACCCAAATATTTTATGATAAATGCTATTAAGATCACATGAGGAAAGTTGTTAAGTGTTGATTGAAGTGTTGAAATGATAAAATGTATATTTTAAGCAAACCATTTTATTATTTATATGTGTCGAGATTGCTGGCATTTAAATATATATTCTTATAAGTGGTTGAGCCTGTAGTTATAAGTTTTTCGAATCCAAAGCCCGTGAACATATGGTTACAATGCGAAAAGACAATTTTCATGTTGCTGGCCAATCATGAAGTGTTTAAACTTTAATTTTCCACAGTCATTATCCTTAACATTAGTACAAATTAATAATAAATAATTTTTATATTTGAATATGCAATGACACCATTTTAAGCTCCCATGACAACTGTATTAAAAATATTGGAATGTTTAACAATACCTTGTAGTAATGTTCAAAGTTAAGAGTTTGCCATTGTTTTTGTTGATTTTTCTAAAAGGTGCTACTCACTATTAACTAATTAACGGAATTGCAATACAATAGATTAAAATTACCTCTAAGTTCCAGCACAAAATTAATATATGACAATGAATTAGGTAGAATGCTAGGATTAAGTTAAACACTAACCCAAAATATTGTTTTGTCAGACTGAAACTAATTCTATGTACAAAGTGACTAGTTGATAGTAGACGGGTATTGGAAGGAAATAATTCCTTAAATATTTTAATACAACAGTGATATAAATACATTTAACCATTCATAGTAGTGATGCTACTTTTCACTACATTTGTAGGTATATATATTTTCTTCCTCTGTGAATCTCCTTTGAATTTAGCTCGCCTCACATATAGTACTGAAGAAAGAATTTTCGGTGTCTAGCTTAGTGGAAACTATCAAGAAACTAAGAACTAGTAAGAAAGTTAGTTTTAAAACGTATCATTTAACACCATTTGATTGTAAATATATTCTATATATATTAAATATGATTCATAAGTGTGTAATTGCTAACTATGAATGGTAGTAATAGTGTTCACTAGAAAAGACCAAATAACATTAAACGACGCCCGAGCAATTATGTTTTGTTTGTCCTGTAACGCTAGCCATTGTTAATTTTATTTATTGCTTAGTAAATTTTTTCTTTTACTTTTCGCCTTTTATTTTAATCCTGATTTATATTTCTGGGACTGTGAATAAAATAATCACTACAGTTATTTATAACAGGTAATACAGTTTTTAATTGTCACATACAAAATCTATATTGGAACAATCATATAAACACTGCCACATTATAATATATAGCAAGTACAATGCATTGATAATCAACTTTGAAATAGGGTAATAAAAATAATATTATTATATTGCTGTTGTCAATCTTCGATCAATTTAGGGCCAATCAACATCTAAAGAAACAAGACAAAATGGTTGTGTCTTTGATTGATCGATGTCAACTTTTGTAAATATTAATATCATTATGTACCTGACTGTGTCAATGCAGTAATAGTTGCATTAATGCGGATGACGTCACAACGTCAATACTAAGTTTTTCATACATTATAAATATTGTATTTAGTATTGTATGATAAAAAAAATAATAACTTATTGTCTGTAGATCGTGCCAGATAAAACATGTCGGGTATGCCTATATACTTGAACTACACAATTTCCATATTATCTTTCAGAAAATATAATAGAATTTAATAGTCATATGCTATTATATTTGCTTAGCTAATAATTCCTATTAGATATAGTATGCTGTACCTATAGGGAGAGCGGAATTATAACATTATATAGTATAATGCACTCCTTTTAGTGTTTGAGGCTGTGAAATATAGCTTTAACCTTCCCACTGTAGATATCACAGTTTTATCTAACAATAATCTTAGTTGAAAGTAAAATATTGCTTTTTATCAAGTTATGTACATGATAGTTAGTGTATAAGCCTGTCATAGATTTATTCATCTTAAACCTTTGAGTACAAACAAACATAAGTAATGTTTTCTGAGACGTATTTTTTTATTTCATGACTACTGGATACGAGGCCTTCTGTCGATGGGACATAATATCTCAATGTGTTGCCAAATTTCGTATAATACTCTTGAGGTTTCTTTAACATAATTGTAAAATGAATTTTGGCAACACGGGTCAACATTACAATATAATCACTGGTTCTCACTTCTCAGAAAGCTTTACACATTACCATTTGTGTGTAGTTATTTCAAATGTATACTGCAAATGTATATTACAATAAATATATATGTATACATATATATGTCCCTATATGTGTATAACTATTAATTCCTGTTTGGTATTAGCACTACTACTGGTTTCTTAATATTAGATAAGTCAAAGTTAGGAATTGATTGTAGACTCATTGATCCCGGTTAGTCTTTTTAACTGAAGTTTATGTATACAATAGCGATATTCATTCTTTAAACCATCGAAATATGTTTGTTAACATCACTTCTTACAGACTATTTATCTTCAATTTGATCTGACTATATACTTGTTCTATCTAACGCCATCTAGCGGCTTAAAGTATAAAATTAAGAAAATACCATATGAATACATTTCTTACTGCATATATTATTTATGTATAATACAATGTACCTAATCTACTGTAATACACATAATATTATTAAGCATATATACAACATAGGTGCTAGTTATTAGAAAACGTTTATTATAAAAACCTTTTCTCTTTACAAATCTTTTGAACCTAATAATATAAGAACATATACTTATAAAAAGCACAATCAAATAATTATTTAGGCTTTATGAAAGTATAAGCAAACTGATAGGAAAATATATTCAATGAATTATTTCCACCTTCCATCGAGTGAACCCTATGATGTTTCCCTTAACACATTTTCACAAAAATTATAATTAATTGTAAATTTAAATGTTTGAGGGGTCATACAATAACCGACTTTTTGCCTTTAATATTCCTCGATAACAATAATACTAACAGGTCTGGTATTACAAGAATTGGAGGTACGAGAAGATTTATGAAGGAATAAATCACGATACTTTCCCTACGGAAAGTAGGTCTTTAAGCCTAGAGAGGAAGTAGTAGTTTCCATTGAATGGGGGACAGACAAACAAGCTCTAACTTTTTTAATATCCATAGGAATATTCGTTCTAATTTATTATTGAATTAATTGACGTAATATTTATGTTATGTACCTGTTAATTGCTTATTTTAAAATAATTTTCCGGCATGAAAAACAAATTAAAAGGCTGAAAAGTTATTTGATTGTGTTACCTTTTACTATTTCCTCGATTTCCCTCTTAACTTTAAAAGTTAAGTAACATTTTGACAATAATGGCAACCCTCACATCCAATTGTAACCGTATTTTTCCACTTTTACACATTATTAACAGTTATAATATGGCAATTACTCAGCTTCAGATAAATAAAGTATTACAGATACTAATATATTGTGTAGTTTTTTTTACACATCTACATACCATTGATTTTGTTCGTCGGGATTCGAAACTAGGTCTTGATTAAACAATCCCAGCTAACGCTAATACGCTACGCTTAACTCGCGGAAGCAATAATATACATATATTTTTTTTTTTGAATGAAAATATGGTTTAATATTCTGTTCATATAAAAGTGATTACATTTATTAATATTATTGACACGCCAACTTTTCCTACTTAAAGGGTCAGATTTTATCACGTATTTGTCCTTATAACATATATTTCCGATATACCTGAAGAGTACCTTGTAGAGCCATTTTGTTATGCTTGGGATTCAAGTTGTTTGGCTGTCGTAGAAATGGTTCTCAAATACAACAGCATTATAAGATGTTGAGTGTATTTTTTTCGCTCATTCGAAAACCCAACAGTTTTTTACAGTGACTATATTAAATTGTATTTATGGCTCCAAATTTGGGTACTGTGTAACATTTGTGCCAAATAGATAGTGCGTTTAAAAGGTAGGTACTTCAAAGTATACGTGGCGAAATTATCATGTTGTGTTGTTAATAGTTTCCTAAATACAAATTTGGTATAGTTTCCGGTGCATTATCCATAAAATTTTCTTGCAGTATATGTATATGCCATCCATCTTCCTTTATCAATGATTATTTTATCATATTTAGCGAGTGTAAATCTTATCAAGTAAGGTCTTTTTCTGTATAATTAACAGCTGTTAAATTTGTTTTAGCTAAACTTATAATTAAATTAATAATGCTGTACCTAAAGCAAGTAAAACGTCGAGTCGCTGTCAAACGTTGTTAAGCTAATATATTTCGTATTTTTAACCGTTAACTTTCTTTAAAAAGTTAATAATAGTATGTATTTTTTTTCATGATTAGGAAATAAACAAACCAAAACAATAGCCGACAGTCGATTTATTGTGTACAATAAATATTTATAAATATCTCAATAAATTAACTTAAACTCTATTCATTCGTTTCGTGATTATTTACATGAGGTAGATTAATTGGTGGTTGATGATGATGACGATGATGAAATTGATGATACGCTGGAGTAGCTCGGTGATGGGTTAGAACTGTCACTAGGATAGTACGAGCTGTACGCCAAGGAACTAGGATCCCACACTCTCGAATAAGGTCCAGAAGATGAGGGCTCCCACTGTGGTCCGTAGGTGTCTGATGGGGCTGAAATCGGGGCTGATGTAGAGGGTGGTCCGTATTGAGAAGCTGGAGGTCCGTATTGCGGTGCCGGTGCTTCAGTTGGGGCAGCCATCATCATAGGCATAGCTGGAAGTAATGTTTAATTTAATAATTCTTTAAAAACTTTGTGTAAAATTTGTTGTGAGTATACCTCATGAAGTAGAAAGTAGGTACGTACCTCCTTTCTTCATTAAAAGGTTGTAAACTAGGAATCCAATGACCAGGGTGATAGCTAACTTGCTGAGAATGAGTGCTTTTACTGCCTTAATGCCTACGATGGTCACCAGGATGGGCATCAGTGCCTTCATCTTCAGTTTCAGAAGGAGAAGAACAGGCAGCAGCAGCTTCTTCTTCAAGATACCTCGAGCTGCAAAGATGTTTTATTAGAACCTTGTTATATTATTTACAGTTTTGTTTTTGACGTTGTTCAAGAAGACTTACCTTCTCCATTTTCAGACTCTTCGGGGAAGTCCACGTCGAAGCCCCTATCAGCGCGATAAGAGACCTCAGCGCTCTGGAAAAGGAATTCTGGCAACTGGAACCTGAACTCATTCTCGTTGAGAACGCGTCCGACGCGATCGAAGATCACTTTATCGATGTTCCTCTCGTCGAGGGCCCTCGCAGACTCCGATGCTACACCCAGCTTGGTGTCCAAGAAAGACAGGACTTTCACTTTGAGACAGGACATCGGCGCGTCGGCTTCGAAACAATCACTCACAACACTATTTAAGAGATCATCACTGGTCTGCAGACGGGATGTTTCGATTTCATTGTCCCTTATCGAGTATCCGTGTACCAGGACCGCAGAAGCCACCAGGAGGCATAAACACTTCATTGTCGCGAGTTATCACTTTGTCATTAGATTGGATTAATTAAACGTACGGCCCGGCCGGTTAATGGAGTAACAGTGACTTAATTTTTCAATGGGCTTGGTTTTTATATGTGATCCTTTGTGCTGCAAGGCACGCGGCGCGGATGCGTGGCAGGAATATGAATCGCTCATACTTGGCAAACTATTTAATTTCATTTAAGAAAGTCCTGGTGGTGAGAGTGACGCTTTATTTGGCAAAATTACGATATTAATATTTCAACGCTGACTTGTATTAAATTAAAAAGAATATAATTAATGTGAATTTTCATAAAACACTACTTAACACTTTTAATCTACGTTTCAGTAAATATTTCTTTATATTCACTGACTACTAAATAAGCTAAACAAAATCATATAAATAGATTTAGTGCATCATAAAATGTCCTTTATCTTTGATTAATCGAAAATATCAACGGATGTTTAGTAAATGCGCCTTACCTTTTTGGTAAGTGGGTCGTAATTGTAGTTACATATTTCTTAACATTTATAATATATAGTCCAAATTCGTACCTGAAACATCCTTGTTTGCGATACGCTATAGTTACATTTTTTATTAGTTAATATTTTAACTACGAATGATATTTTTTATCTTTAGTATAAAAAGGTTGTATAGTCGACATTAAAACAATAGGTGTTGAATATACTTTAGTATGCTGCAGCGTGGAACTCTCTCCAGTCGGTGTTCCATACCAATCAATCAAATTCTTACGATTTTGTAATATAAAAATTTAACTTAATGTATTGCAAAGTTTATATAACATCGAGCGTAATGCGCGTGCTTGTTGAATTAGAAATGGTATACTTATTCTACAAAGCAAAAAGCCGGTGGAATTTTTATGTAAGACGGACAATTTTAACTGGTATTCTAATAACTGTTTTAATAACACTTTATATGGACATTATATTATGTTAGATATACTTGTCCTTTATAAATTGAATATCGATTTTAGATTGAAACATTTTTACAACACGGACAGGGCACGAAACGGCATCCACGGCGTTCCTCGTTGTTGCTGTAATCATTAGAGCTGTTTTTCTTTGTCAAAAATTATTAAGGATACATTTTGCTATTTTTTTTAAATATTGATAAATAACAAAAAATATGAACGTTTGAAAACTTTATTATTTCTTACATGAGTTTTACAGGCATGAAGACACTATATAATTTAAAAATCGAAAATAAATTGACAAAATTTTCGACTTCAACTTACCAATTGAGCTACCGAGTGGTAGAGCAACAACGCGGTACGCTGACGATGCCGGTTCAAAACCTGCCCGAGTCGAAAAAATTTCGATTTTAAAATTATAACAAATTTTAGTACTTGTGCTTATAGTATTTTACCATATCAAAATTCGAATTACTGTGCTGGATATATCGTAATAAATATATTATTGTAAATGCGCTTAATTCTAAACGAATTTCTAGTTAATTACCTTACCATGATACTATCTCAACTTCTTGGAAAGTGAAAAGCTCCGAGAATCTTACCCAATCTCCATTATGCAATAAGGGTTGTTGGCCATTTTGTATGCGCTACCTGTAAGCCATTTGCATCTGCGTCCACGCTTTGTGAAATTACTTCCGTTTTGAGGTCATCGTTATTTTGTTATTGTACTTGCGCTTGATTTTTCAGGGAAATTACTGAACTCCAGTATTTTAACTTTGATTAAAAAACACTTGGTAGTTTTTTAATATATGTTAATTGAACCCGACTTCTATTTAATTTCACGTAAGGAAATTAGTGTTTCGATAGAAATGTAAATCCAAAAGTAAGTACTTTCGTAAACGTATTTAGTATCACAACGCTGTTTTTTTTAATTCCTTTATGCCTAATTATTTAAATTGAGTTTAACTATAGAAAATAGCGTTTTGCCGATGATATATTACAATATTTTAACATCACAAATAAAGTGTATTTTTTGGCAGATAGAGAGAGATAAGAAGATAATCAACGTTTATTCCATTCTACTTTAGGGTTGAGGTATGTAGTATTTTATATTGGTTAAGCAAGAAGTTGCAATAATAATAGTTCCTACACAACATCTAACACAAATCAGAAGATAGTGAACCAAAAATTACTTATTTTTAAATAATAAATAATTCTTCTACTTATTCCTTTACATATTGTACAAATACATTATCCGTTGGAATCCAGGCTGCGCTAATACGTCAGTGGGTCAGTTGCACACCACGGAAGCCTCAATGCTCGATAAATGGCATATGAGCAGAATTTTAATCACAATATTTGATATATGAGCCCTTTCGTCTGTAGTACTATTTGCGATGACGGCAAAGGGAAGAAGAAGGGATAATTTTATCAGTCTATAAATGTATGTATTAGCCTTTAAGGACAAAGTCAAGCCGAATTATTTAAGTAATGTGTCAAACGATTCTTAAAAATGACTCTTGTGAAATATACTATAGGTGCCTAAAAAAAAATGTGTATGACGAAAGAAAAAGAGATAACTATACGGTTCGGAATAAAATAATAAATGTGAGGGTAGTTTTGTACGATCGATAGGACGGACGGCCGAACGAACGTAGCGCGCACTGGCAAACGCTTTTCGGTGCCGCTCGTACGAGTTGATTGTGCACAGTTTTTGATTATTAGGTACGTTTATGTGACTATCACATGGAAGTATATGGTTAACGCCCGCGTGTGAGAAAGGTTGCGAAATATTGTCTTTTAAATGTTCGCGAGTCCGGTGCGTTATTGAATTAATCTGTGTAAATTCGGTGTGCATATTACATGGTGACGTGAGTTAATACCCGACTTTTGTTTCTTAATATTCCCTCTTATATTCCAGTTACGATACAGACAGACTCGTCACAATAACAGTGCAATAGTGCAATCAATCACGATAACCACGGGACCACCTGAGGTATGTACTTTGTATATTAAATCTAGTTAGCTGTAGACATTTTTACCGTTATTGTCCTTATGATGCCCCATTATACCATGGTTAGTATTAGCAGAGAGGTCTTGGTGACCACAAAATTGTACCTACTTAGGATAAGCTGAAAATCAGCGCTGAAATGTTTAGTTTGCTAGCGAATTCTCTGCTCGCTAAGATATGTTAAGTTCTGCTGTCAATCAAGTAACAATAACAACATAAGTTCAACCTGTACCGGTGCCGCACTGAGTAGTTAATACCTGCGCTAAAACTTTGTTATTGTTTCTTTTTCATGACTATGTTATAATAATTAAGCGCGGCATTAAAACGCTCCTTTTGTACTGTATATTGTATTTATACATTACAGGTTAAATAAAAGATTTTCAAACTTTTCGCGTCTAGTAAATGGGACTTTGTGAAACGATTAAATAGCGAAGCGAGTCCTAATCTTAGGCTATGAACGTACATTTCATGTTTTTAGTAAAGAGTAAAGAACTCTATGTTATTTCCAATTATATTGCCAGAGTAACGTATATTGACAGTCAATATAGCACATACTAGGATTGTGCCTGCGAGCATTGAGTTTCGAATTCCAATGCGCATTGTGTTACGAGTGTATTAACTGACAAAATTTGGTGTTCAACTAGACAGGGTAACTCAATTGGTAGAGTAAGAGAATTTATATTACCTATAAACACACAATAATTATTGCAGAATTTAGTTTTAGACTGTTCAGTGTTTTAGACATTAAAGAGCAGAAATTTATTATTTGTGTTTGTAATAAATATCTCCGCAACTCTACCTCGTAGCTTCGTAGCATAAGCGTAGCAAATATCATTTATTCAACACTTAAAAAAGATTTGTTATTAAGACTATTAGTTCAATTTGACTTAAAACCTTAAAGAATTAAAAAAAGTGATTAGAATTAACAAAAAAAAGAAATTACAAAAAATAATAATAACTACAAAATATTAAATAACACTAAAAAAATATTTTAAAATTACTTTTTAATTAGGTGCGCATTAAATAACTACCTAAAGTGATTTTAGATCATTAGAAACTCCTAAACAGAACCTAATTGAAGAGTTGACTTTCTACTTATAATGCAGGTTACGTATGGAATGTGCCAGGCCACACATTACAATGAAGTAAAAACACACTTTAAAACAATTTATTTGTATCCGGAGAAAGCAATTAAAATACGCCAGGTAATATCAATGATTTATTAAAATAAATAACACACACTCACTCACGCACACAAATAAATAAATTCATACAGTATTTACACTCGTGGTTTCGAGAAACCTTTTTGGTTTAGTTCCGTTCTGTGTCGGGATTTCGGTCGGTATAGAGGTATATGGTTAATAGCTTAATGGTAGGCGTTGTATGCTAGTTCTTGGGCGAGGTCTTGGGGCTCAGCGTCTCTCCTGCGACGGGTTGCAGCGTAGGCGGCATCCCAAGGCCCATGGGCGGCTATTTGGGGGTGGGAGTTGTCCGCAGCGATCTGGGTAAACTACAAGGTTAATGAGGAATAGGATTTAGAAGCGTTCAGAAAATATTAAGATACAACGTGCTTAGGGTGCATTGCGAGTTTTGTGCATTTGTGCTTGGTTTTAGATCAATAAGGTTTAGGTCTTCTATAAACGTAGTACCACGACTGACATCGATATAAATATTACGATTTTTATACCTTATTGATCCAATAAATGATATGCTTATTATATGCTCACCTTCTTGCAAAGCTGGAAGATTGCCAGCGCGACGGATACGACGAATGAGAAGAAGGAGAGCTGTAGGGCGTTCCAGGCCTTCAAGCCGAGGACTCCGATGGCTAAGGGAATAAGAGTCATAGCTTTTAAGAGCACGAAGACCAGAATTGGTACAATGATCTTCTTCAGCTTGGCTTTACGGGCTTCGCCAACGGCTCTCGCGCCTTCCTTGTTGAATTTGATGTTCAAGCTCAGTTCATCGTTCTCCAAGTTTCTGGGGCTCACGGTGATCTTGGTGTCGGCGATGGGCATTTGGAAGGTGACATCGTGGGACTGGATATAGCTTTCGATGCTGTCGAGGAAGTCACCGTTCGATCTAGCGGCGGCTTCGTTGCCGTTCTTTGTCACTTCTACGGCTTCGGAGATCTGTAAACCAATATACAAAAGGTATCGTTTATAAAAATCAAAATATAATTATTATGTGCTTTACAGCTTATTAGTAGCTTCATGTGTTGGTGTTTCCAATTATACACGTCCAGCGAATTGAAATTTCATAGTTCCTCACGCAGGAGTATAGTCAAGAATCTTGCTGCAACTCTTTTTATCGCCAAGTTTAACTTAATATCACAAATGTATGCCCACCTGGAAGGTGTCCTTCTTGAAGATGCTGTCCAACAACGACATAACCTTGTACTTGATACAAGCCGTTGGGTCGGATCCTTCGGTGCAGCCGGACCTCATTTCTTCAACCATCCCGTCCATAGGCGTCCCCTTCCAGAAGCCATTTTTCGAGGGCTGCGCTAGAGCACACCCGAATAAAGCGATAAGACACACCACCTTTACGGACGCCATTTTCTCGGTGCTCACTGGAGGACGGCTGGTGATATTGTGATAGTTTCGACAAGGACCCAGCTGTTTTTATACAGCTATTTCAAATTCAGAACGTAGTCCTAAGTTCCGGTACGTATAGTCTTGCCGTGTATCAGTCAATTGCGTACTTACGATCTTTTGGCACGTGCAGGAGCGAAGTGTAAGGGAAAGCTATTTGATACGAATCCTCTTTGATGTTTCAATAGCGAAAAGGCTTAACGTCCGCTGAATTTGTTAGGCGTGTTGTCGTTTTAGATTTATATGAATCAAAGCACCTTTTCTGTTTGTGACACCGTACCCTGATTCGGTGGATGCTTGATCCAGATCGCGTGTCTTTCTTTAGCCAGTGATAGTTGATATGCGAGCGAGTGAGATGCAGTGATTGGTGTTTGTTATGGAAGAGCGGAGTTAAGACAGGCGCCGGTTGCATACGTAATATGTTCAAATCGCTATCATTGAACTTGTCACTTAAGAGATAATGTGATCTGATAATTCCTGGAAATATCCGTGTAAGGTAAAGATTTTTAAGTAATAGAGGAGATAGGAGATCTTTCTCTCCTCGTTACTGTTATCTATAAAAATATCATTTATTCTTAGTAGAGTATCTATCTTATTTGAGACTTTCACACGTAAATAAATTTTCGACAAAGAGTGCTTTAGAGATCATAGTTATCCACGAGTTTAAAAAATCTTAATTAGTTTGTATAGTAGTTACGTTTAAATTTGAAATTATTATAATATAAGTCTTTATAATCTGTATTATTTAGTATAAAATTTAATTAGTACAGATATTTATAGTATATTGCATTAGCATGCGTTCGAGTGTTTCTATACATCGTCTCGGCTAGCCGAGACGATGTATAGAAACACTCGAACAAGTTTTTTTTTACACTTTCTCGGTTTAATAAATATGTTTAAATAAAACACTTTAACGGTTTCTGTTCGCCAAATACCAACTTCGACGGAAAAGATGGCGCTAGCGTAGCAATTTTTTACTTTGACGTCAGAGACATCCTCCATCTTTAGTCTCCCCGTGACCACGGCTGCTGCAAAGCATCCAAAACGTCGGGCCGAAGTTAAAAATCATTTTCAAATAAGTTTAACTAATATATCGCGTTTTAAACCGTTAAAGTGTTTTATTTAAATGTGTACTACTCGCGTAAACTAGACAGTATTTAATAAATATATTTAAAATAAATAATGAATGAAAGTACTCTTATACCTCTTTAAAACTTACTTCTACAAAAATAGCTTAAGTATGTAAATAAAAACGTTTTTAGCCGAAATCTAAAGCCAAAAATGTATTTAAAATATGTAATTGTACCGGTGTAATAGAAAAAAATTATTGCATCACCCCCGTAGCAGATTGAGTAAAAACGTTAGCTAGTTATAGGATAAGTACGAAGAATCTAGATTCAAATCCGATCGATTTCAAATATGATATGTAGTTGAATGATGAGGAACGAAATCTGATTTGTCACATTTAAATAAAACACTTTAACGGTTTAAAACGCGCGATATATCAGTGAAACTTATTTGGAAATTATTAAAAAAAAATGCAAAGCATCCGAAACGTCGGGCCGAAGTTAAAAATCATTTCCAAATAAGTTTAACTAATATATCGCGTTTTAAACCGTTAAAGTGTTTTATTTAAATGTGTACTACTCGCGTAAACTATTGTCACACGCAAATAATCACAGAGTTGGCCCAGAAATATACCCTAAGACACGAGTTTTATTGGGAATCGAAATGTATGGATCAGAAGGGCTCTTAAAATCTTTGACTTTAGCATGGGGCAATAAAGATAGGTACCAAGAGAATAATATCAACCAATTGCTTCATCAATATCTAATTAACGTTAAGAATTATAATGTTCACTTTCACCGATGCGGAAGTATTCCATGGCACATTAGTATGCGCAGGAGTGGGTAACAATGTATCAGAATTATAACTATCAATATATTTGGGTCGCATTGGCTGTGGCTCACATTGCCTAGCCAAGTGTCGTTGAAGCTTTATCATAGGACTAGCTGTGACAGCGACTTCATCCGTTATTTTGGGTGTCAAAATTTGTTTTTGTAAACTTTCCATCTTAATAAATTATACCTGTTACCCATGACCACGTTGGCGTCCCGACGTTCCTGCAGGTTAATATTGTAACATAGACATATAGTGTAATTTTTTGATCCTCTAAAGACGAATCTTTCATCAAAAATGAATAATTTTCCCCATTTAATCCACACTTTCCACTCTTTCTTCGAACCTATTCGTCGCAGCGTGGAGTTTAAGCCTTCCTCGTATATGCACTGAAATCATCTGTCTTGTTCAGTAGTACACATTTAAATAAAAAACTTTAACGGTTTAAAACGCGATATATTAGTTAAACTTATTTGAAAATGATTTTTAACTTCGGCCCGACGTTTCGGATGCTTTGCAGCAGCCGTGGTCACGGCTTCGCGTTTTAAACCGTTAAAGTGTTTTATTTAAATGTGTACCCGAAATCATTTTTCAATTCTAACCTCTAGTTTCTGGATAAGCTCGTTCTAAGAGGCATACAAAGAAAATTATATTTTTAAATATTGGTGTAGATTTTGCAATATATAGCTTGGATGCTCGAACGATGCAATTAACGTTTTAACATAAGACGCTAAAATGCAATAGTTCTTGTAAAATATAAAACATACGGCTGATCATCGGCAAGGTTGGTCTAGAGGTATATCTATGGCTTTAAAATCTGAATATAACCATTAAATATTAGGTAGGTAGGTTATCGAAAATTCCGGAAACAATCCTTCAGCTCCAGTCTGTGGATTTTCGAATAACCAAAGCCAAAAAGTCGACTACGCATCTTATCAAGATTACATGGCTGGTATTTCACCTTTCGTTTAGAGAACCGCATGTCTATCCTTCTCTATTATAATAAAGTTTCTAATTTTCACATTAAAATACTAAAGAACGACAAGTTTGAAGGTAAAAATACGATAAATATTAACATATCAGAGAAGAATAACTTAATTTAAATTAAATCATATTTAACGACATTTAAGTAATAATATTTAATACGGGACCTCATTGGGAAATTTAATATTTAACTGATTAACATTACACTTTTCCAAATTACTATCTTATTTAAGATATAGTATAAGATTTTGCGTTGATGACTTCACCCTATAACGCATAGCGAACATTGACTAAATACTCTACGGCGTCAAACCTCAATGCAAACTGCATTCAGACCTACGCAAAGTCGAGGTTCCGTAATCATACATTCAATGCCACGCTTAGGAAGCGCGCTCAGACCAAAACTATGGAGCGAACGCTCATTTGGCGCGCCTGCCTCATTCAATATGAACTACCGTTCAGTCTTCCACCGCCTTTTGCCAGGAAAGAGTTATGTCAGTGTCTTAAAAATTAGTTCACTCTTCAGCTTTCTACACGTACCAATCCATAAAAGGGGCAATGTCTAAGTTATCCGTGACGAACTTCAGCAAAAGAACGGGTAGCCCGTTCCAAAAGATAGAACAGGAAAAAGAAAAGATCGTCCACGAAGAAGTACTGCATAAGAGCAACTATGAAAAACAGAAGGAGAAGACTGAGGAGTTAGTAAATAAAGTGAATAAGAAAACTGCGGAATACCAATCAAGTAAACCAAGTTCTGGTGTGTTCACTGAAGTCGTGACGCATGGAGCGTTTACCACGAAAAAGGTGGAAAATGACAAACCAAAAGAATCCCCGACCAATAAAGGAAACAACGGAAACGGAAAGTCTCGTTTAGGATTTCCATCGTCAGCAAATGATTTAGCGCTGGACGCAAAATCTGATCTGGAATCAGATCCCAATATTTCCGAAGAAGTAAAAGAAAAGGTAATAGATAAATTATTTACTCTAGTATCGATGGTGCAACACACTTACGAGTCGAAAGTGAGAGTTATGAGTGAGTTCGAGAAATTTAAGGACACACATCTCAAGAACGAAGTAAGACGAGAGAAGGAGCATTCGGAACAATTGTACAAGTTGAACATCAATTTTCAAAGTGAGGTCATTCAAGCAATTCAGCAGTTGAGAAGTGAATTAGATTTGTCGAGACATTTGTCAAGTACAGAGGACACGAGTAACTTGATGAGTATAAAGGACAGTGGGATTAGGTATAGTGCGAACGATGACCAAACTGTTGACGATGTTGATAAAAATCGTGACTCAGTGTAGGCTGAAATAAAACGTGATATAAAAACAAAATAGGACTTCTATTGTGGAAATATAGAAACTAACGTGATCATTATATATGTATTTATTTATAAGGTACAATTATAATTGTGACGTCATTCTATTGTATTTCCATATCTATTGTACTTATTTTTTTAAATATATTAATTAAATTAGTTTAGATTAAGTATCTACGACATACCTGTAATTTTTGTATGTCAAGGATTTACTGACAAATAAAAACGTGGGAGTTGATTAACATGGACATAGTATGTTTTATTTATGGTGTCTAGTTTACATTCGTGCATTGTTACAGTATTACTAAGTTATACATTTTAATATTAATATAAAATTTAAAAAAATCTTTAATGTTTTCAATTTTAAACCCTTGAAAATAAATTCTTATCTGGCAATACTATACATAACATAATTAATCATTTTAATTAGTAAAGGGGAACTCCTAAGCCCCGTTTCGATTGATTAGTCAACTTTGTTGAGGTAGAAAGAAGACGTCCCGTATTTCACATCTCTTGCACTATAAGCATCATTTGTTAACTAGCTATTTCAGCGACTTTGTCCGCTAAGAATATTTATTTTGGGTATCCAAATTCGTTTTTGCAAACCCCTTCATCTTTATAAACTTAAGCTGTTACCCACGACGTCGGTCCCTTCCCGTCGTTCTTGCAAGTCAATCTTGAAAGATAGACATATAGCGTCGCGGACTGTTTTTAGATCATCCTTTCTTACATATTTTTTGGGTATCTTAAATTGTTTTTGCAGCTTACGCCTCGGAAAGCCACAGAGATGAATTTTTTTTTCCCGTTTCTTCCACATTTCCCGCTGTTTCTTCACTCCCATTATTCATAGTGCGATATTTTAGCCTATATCCTTCCCCGATAAATTCTCTAACTAACACTAAAATATATTTTTAAATCGAATCAGTAGTTCCCGAGATTAGCGCGTTCGAACATACAAACAAAGAAACCCTTTAGCTTTATATATTAGTATAGATAAGCCTTTCTTGTAAGCTATATTTTCAAAGTTAGTTACTTTTTAACTCCATGTTCTAAAGACAAAAGACTAACATACACGTAAACGAAATAGAGAATTAATGATGTTGTATTCTGCAAATACTTGTACTAGCAGACCTGATATGAAGTATTTCGATCAAATTTACCTTAAAAACGGTTCTGGTGAGTTAATATTAAAAGATAGACGTATACTGCCAGGGACTTATTTTTTTTTATTAAAGAAGAATACTCATTTTATGCGTACGCCGCAGAAACCAGTAGTTATTTTTTCAAATTTTTAATTGTTTTTTTTTCGCTCCTATTGGTCGCAGCCTAATGTTTTATAGTCTAGCAAACTCTTCAACATTATAATCTTAGTATAGATTAGAAAATACAATGCACAGCTTTAAATTCAGCAGTTTATGATAGCAGAATCCCTACTGTCTAAAAATAGGTGAATACATACAAGCTATATAAAATACAGACACAACATAATAAGGAAAAACCAGTCTGAGCATTTTTACCCACTTCAATAGTCGTTGTTGTAAGATTTAGCTGTACCAACGCGTATTTTGTACATTAAAAGCTTATCTCGTTAGCTGTGTTATCAATTATTAAAAACAGTAACAGATTATGCGAATCTGAAATTCGTTAAATAAATTTAAAATAAAACTGGAAATTTTGGGTACGTATAAGTTTTATAGCTCATTTAATTATAAAGAAAATATATACTGTAGACACGTGAGTACTACATATTTGAGTGGAACAATTTAACGGTTTAAAACAAGAAATATATTAGTTACGCTTATTTACAAATTATTTTATTATTTGTTTTATCAGTCTCCCTGTGACCACGGCTGCTGCAAAGCATTCGAAACTTTGGACCGTAGTTAAAGTAATTTGTAAATAAATTATACTTTTATATTTTGCCTTTTAAACCGTTAAAGTGTTTTATTTAAATGTGTACTACTCGCGTAAACTATAGACAGTATTTGATATTATTGTATTTAATTTTCAGCCATGGCGTGGTTTATCATTATGTTTAGTTTATTACTACTAAATAACTTGAGCCATGCAATGCCAAACTGTTCCAATTTAGGCCCCGGAAAAATTGTATGTAAGCCAGGGAACTACAGTGAATTTGTGCTTGCAAGGGGAGTCGTATCTGATAATAATTCAACGAAAGAGATTGACCTAAGCGGTTGCAAGATTAGCGACGTCGACTATGAATCATTCCATCGTCTTCCAGCGTTAACACATCTCAACCTATCGCAAAACCTTATCACTAGGCTCAAACTAGGCGTACTAGACGGCTTCAAGAATTTAATTCACCTAGATCTATCACACAATCAATTAAAAACCTTCCCACTCGGTTTGTTTGACCAAAAACCGAACCTTGTTTATCTGGATCTAAGTCACAACCAACTCCAGGCGCTGGAACTGGGAATATTTGATCCGTTATCAAAATTAAGGTTTTTAGATTTGTCTAACAATTCACTGCGTGGAGCTGACATCGATCCGTATATATTTGACAAAAGTAAACGGATTAAAACGCTCAGTTTCTCTACGAACGATATGAGTGGTGCCCAAGATATACTTCTGCATGCTATGACAGTATTGGAGAAGCTGGATCTAGAGGATTGCCAACTTGAAGAACTTCCAGCGTTCGCGCTAAAAAGTAACATGGGTACTCTGAAGGAATTAAATTTATCGCAAAACAAATTACAGGAGATTAGAGGCGACGAGACTTTTAAACACTTGACTGGTCTGGTGTCACTTAATTTGACGTCGAACACTATAGAAATGATTGGAGAGGCGGTTTTTAAGCCTTTGAATAAGCTAAAAGTCATAGCGTTAAGGGATAATAGAATTAAACAGTTACCAGAGACGGTATTCCAAAACATGCCGCTATCAAACATAGATTTGTCACGTAATCTTATTGAGTTTATACCGGTAAACGCATTCAGAGGTACTAAGACAAAGAACTTGAACTTATCGAGTAACAGGTTTACATATTTACAGGATAACTTTTGTTTAGAATTGAGGAATTCCGGTGCGTTTGTGAACAAGTTTTACTTCAACGATAATCCGTGGCAGTGTGCTTGTCTGCGGCAGCTTTTGAATGAAGTAAGGAGGTTCGATATTGTGTACAATAACGCGAAGTTTGATGGGCAGCATCCAGTGTGTGTAGAGGTCGATGGTCCTATATGTCATCGTCATGTGGAGTTTAATGAACACGTCTACGAAATATACGATAACTAGTTAGTAATTTGATGCGATAATTAAACAGTGCGAGTACACTTTTAAAGTTATCGTACATATATGTTTTGGAAGAAACGTCACAAGAGACATTTAAAAAATACATCTCGTTATTTAAAATTTTTATTGCAGCGTCATCTTGTGTTACACTAAAAAGACGTCTAAAATAAACAGGACCAATTTAATTTTAGTACTTGTAACTACCGATAGAGTGCGCTGCATAGATTTTGTTAATATTACAGATAGTTTAAATTAGATCTTAGTTATATAATTTTAAATGATATGAATATTATTACTAATAAATATTTCTTTTACATTTAAATTGTTTTGTAATGGTATTAAATAAAGCGTTTGTATATTGCCACGATATCCACATACATACATACAATTGGTTATAAAACACTTTTTGTTATTAATACTTACATTTGGAATTCAAAATCATTCAAAATTAAATATTGACTCATTCTCAATTATATTTCTTCGTATTGTCATATAAAAAATTAAAACTAGAACTATCACAAACTTAGAAATAATTACAGGATAGTATAAATAGGAAAGTAGGTATATGAAACCGCTAAATAACAGGTAAGTACCTTGTGACCTTTTAGATTGGGTACTTACCTGTTTTACTTATACGAATATAATTTATTGTCTTTTTATTGACTGTCATCTGAATGCAATATTTCTTATTATTGGCACTTAATCCCCACAGCTGCGGCTAAATTCCCTCACCGCAATTTATTCCTAATTAGCTACTCGAAACAGTTTTAGACAATTTTATAACCAATATGAGACCGCACTGAAGACAGCAAAAAATAACTAACACGTGCATGAAATTTTATAAAATCAACATCTGCGAAATCGATGTTTTTTACGTGAATTTCTTTCGCTGCCCAAAAAAGTTGGGATAGTTTTTTAAGAGATCGCGTATCGTGTAGTTTCCGTACGCGTATTCGGTTATGTGGAATAATTCGGGAAAGTATAGGATGCTGGTTTTGAGAGTCACTAATAATTTAACAACGCGAATAGTACAATAGCACTATAAGGTTCCAGACTGTTTGAAATCAAAGCCGGGCGATGTATGATGACGTATATACAAAATTAAATATCGTTTTCCGCATTTAATTTAATTGTTTTCTTGATTTTATTTACACACAAGTACGTACGTAACGCACGTACATAAAAGATTACGTTAGTTAATCTTCTGTTATCTATTTGACCGTTTACGATCAGCCTGTATCAACGAAATTGTTCATATCCCAGGTAAAGCGAAACTTTTTCTAATAAAATGATTCCTCAAAAGCCTTAATTATCGGCCAAGAGATCGCAGTTTTTTATCAATTCAACTCGAGTCCGTTCCACACCATTTGGCAGAAACATCGCTTTGTGTTTTAGAATGATGTCCATATTATAAATTACGATTATTATAGGGAAATGGCGGACTAAATTTATTTTATTTGACGTTTGGTTATTGCAAAGATGTGCCTAGGGATTTTTATTTTTCGAGAAGCATTAACTGATACCAGATAGATTTCGAATACCAGTTCAGTCTTTGGAATGTTACTTGAAAATTTTCTCGTACCAATCTGGAGCTAAGAACTCGTCGGTGTCATCTGTCTCTCATATTGAACTAGTCGTGAGTGAGACTGTCAGGCAGTTACCCTCACTTATTTAGTGGTCATCAAAGCCCGCAAACCAGCACTGGAGCACTTTGGTTCTAGGGTAACATAACCTCGAAGAGGTTGATATAATATAATAGCTGTACGCGTTTATATACAAGTTAACAGTAAAGAGCTTATACAAATATGTCAACTATAAAATTCACGTTGCAATTACATTGTGCGAGAGGTAGGTAGAAAAAAATATGACGATGACGTGTAAGTCGCGGTATATAGATAGCGGATAGAGCAACAGCACGGAATGCTGTGGATGCTGGTTCAATTCCCGGCCCATGTCTTATATCTTTATAATTTTTGTTCAAATATGTACTTGTTTTTGATTCAAGAGTTACCAATCAGGATCAGTGAAAATATTTGGACACATTAAAAATAACAACACACACTAAACAAATTATTGTTCGGTTTATTTAACTTGCCACTATATATCAAACGGGCTTTTAATACTTATTCTTGAATTTTGTTTGGTAATTAATCATAAAGTAAATTAAATTATTTTTAACATGACGTAGCGAGCGAAACTATTTCTCAGCAGCTGATACAGGCACGAGCCATACGCTTTTAGTAAAAAAAAAAACCTAAAAAACTTCGCTCAATTTGGCAAAAAGGTAAGACAGGAAGAGGCGGAGTACTGTGGCCACTTCCGCGGTCTGTACGCTGATGTTAATATGGATATGCTAAAGCAGGTCTAGAGAGGTACATTTTAATTTTATCGTTATAAATCATTACATTGTATGTTCTTAGTTACTTTGAAAAATTGACACGTATTGAAGTATTTAGTATAATTATTTTTTCGCCAACATTCGCTTTTAAAACTACCTTTTTGGTGACATTTGACTGACAATTTGAAAACCGGTAGGTACGGTACCCTTCGATATATTGAGTTTATATAATACGTTTGCAACTTGCAACAGAAGGTTGGAGGTAGGCGATGTCTAACATAACGTCACATCCATATAATTATTTCGTCATGAAAAAACCTTTTTCTTAATTTGATCAATTGTTCGTACAAATGTTGAGATGGAAAGGAGCTAAAAAATCGGCTCGTGCTCAAACTCTCATTTTTTACGGAAACCTTTTTATGGTGAAATTAATTTTGAGCATGTGGCTAATGACAATGGAACAGATGTAATTCAGATAGATCTTTATATGCTGGTCCAGCGGTTTCACTTCAATTCGATTTCGCTTGGAGAGAAAACTTTCTCAAACTCATTTCTTTTTATAAATATCTTTAAATATTTATTATATTATACCTTTGCACTAAATAAAAAGTTCGATCGCCCACTTTATATTTAGTTTCTAATTACTTGAAGAATTAACTTAATAAACTTTAAATTTACAACTACCCTTAAATATATTTTTAACTTCATCGAAAGGCTAAATATATTTGCTATAAGGCTATTGTTTTTAAGTAACATTAAAAAAGTGTGTAACAATATAGGTCAAAAGAACTAATCTTAAATTGCGTGGTATCTTAAACCTTATCTGACATTTATACTTGTATACGTATCTTGTGGATGGCGAGTAATTAAATTAAACCTAGGCATTGCGAAGTTTTTTTAAACAAAGCCTACAAAGTTTCACAGTCCACAGTGAAATTCCATTTCCCCCTCGTGGGGCATGGGCCGAACACATTTTTGTGTCCGTTCCACTGATCCATTCTTTAACAGGCAAGTAGTTGAACAGACTTCTGTGCCCTGCCCGACCCTGGAATTCAAATCCGGAACCTCTCGCGCTTAACGCAATACGTTTAACCATTTGGTTACAGAGGCGATCATAACAACAAACCTAAAAGTTACTTGTCATTAAATCAGCAAACAGGCTTATCTATTAAAAAATACTGCAGTACTTTTAATTCCGAAATAAATCCTCGAACACATGATACCTATAAAAAGTACTATTTAATCTAGCGGAAGTTTGGCACATGCTATCAAAAAAGCGGCAGTGTTGCCGCAGTAAAAAATACCTTTATTTAAACAACGTTTTAGCAAGTTTTTTACGCTATCTGCATAGGCAATGTTTTATATTGACCGCAGATGTCGTGTTATGCAGATGACATTTTTTTGCGTGCGATTTTTCGTAGTTTGTCTTTGTAGTTTTTGACGGCAGATGTTTATGTTTTTATGTTTCCATATTTAATTAATAGGCGATTAAATTTTACAAGATTACAACTTATAATCATATCACTTTGAAATTACATAGCGAAATTTGTTTAATTAGTTTTAAAACTGACGGTTTGTCGAAAGGCAACAAGTAATAATTAGATCAGCATTTACGGTGAATTGAGCCTGATTTAAATCGTTAATTCAGTCAAAAAGGTAAAAGTCCGCCACGCCGCAACAGTGGTTTATAATCACATAATTTAATATGTTGCATGCGATCCGATCTAAACATATTAAAATTTAAAGCCATCGTTTAGTCGTAGCTAGCGATTTCGAGACGAATTTCGCGGAAACATTAGGAATTTTGAAGGAATCATGCGAGAGAATTGCGAGTTTAATAAAATAAAATATAATTGCTATTCAAAAACAAATAATTCGAGGGCCCGCGGCCGAGGGCACAATCAAAAGCTTTTCGATTTGAATAAATCAATCCCTTGAAGAACTGCATTTATATACGGCGTGTTGCTATGGTTCGACGAAATTTCAGGGCCCCGCTGAAGCCGTGACGGAGGGCTAAACCTAGATGTAGTTTTTCATTGCTTTTCACAATTGATTAGCCGTTATTAAAGCATTAAACGTAATTACTTATACTGTATTGATTATCTTATAGATCTAATGAATTGTTGCGCTTTTATAACCTAAAAATATGCTTAACTTTAATACAAAACCCGTAAGTTTCCGTCTGAGATTTCAGGATCATACAGACTGAAAGCCAATCTGGGTCGAACGAAGTAAGTATGATTGTTAATAGGGTTCTCTAAGTCTTGTTTTAGACGCTCAACATTTCAGTACATCCTGTAAATGTGCACTTTTTCCAAACATTTAGAGGTCGACTTTTTGAGGGGTTTTTTCTGGGCATGGGCCAATTATGCACATTTTTGCCGACGCGGTTCGTTTGGCGGGTTCTCGCGAGGCAAGACTGCTCTCATACTTATGAGGGCGGATTCCTTCAAATAAAAATGGAGTGAAACGCTTTTTGCTGTGGTTTTTGTCGGGATATTGATGAACCTCCGGTTTTGAAGGCATTCCGGAGACGCGACCATTGTGTACGTAGCGTGTATATCTGTCTTTGTATTCTTAATTTTACATTAATAATGGATGTGGAATTCGGGAATATCGTTTAGATTTTGCACTTGAAATCGTCTCGGATCGGCGGATGCGCATA